TTAGATGACTGTGCCCATTCCAGAGCCCAAGGTACCAAGAAAAGGGGAGTTAACTTTATTTCTTCTCTTCTTACAGGACCTGTACCTGCCTCTGTCCTTGGATGATTCTGACTCACTTGGAGATTCCATGTGAAGAGGAAGAGAGTGTTCAAAGTCCAGAGTACAAATCAAATCTTACCGTTACAGTGGAGTAATTTTTGCTCAAGTGTCCAACAGGGCTATTGGTGCTTTCAAGTTTTTATTTGTCGTAGTTGTTGCTGTTATTTTGAAAAACATACTGTAATATGTTGGATTTATTTTCCTGTGATTTCTCCTCTGGGCCACTGATCCACAGTTACCAATTACAAGAGATAGATTGATAACCATCCTTTGGGGTAACTTTCCAGGGATGCAAAATTTGCCAGTCCATGACCTTTCTATTGAATGCTTAGGCGCCTGCAATTATTTTTCCCCTGTCTTGCTTTACCCCTACACTACAGTCTTCCTTCTGTAGAGGGTTGTTTACATACATAACACTTAAAATGTGTGTGTGTGGGAAAAATCTCATTGGTGGATCCAAGAGTGACAAACACAAGTGCCCCTTGTCTCCCAATCTCAAGGATGCTGGAGGATCCTGGGAGTATGGCAGGCAGCTCCCTACCCTCGCTCTTCACTTCTGCTCGAGCCCCCAGTGTGTTGTCTAGCACCAATTCTGGCTGTCATGGGGGAGAAACACCAGCAATTTATAATTCTGACACCAGATGCTTAGGATCCTGGTGCAGAGCTAACTAAAAGAGATTAGGCAGAACTGGGAAATACTGCAGACATTTCAGTACAGTTATTCAGCACAGTGAATTCCTTGTCAACCTTTCCACTGGGGCAATTTGGAATCAATAAGCAATTGATATGGTTGGAGGTGAGGGACTTCATATACCTGATTCCTCTAGGAGGCTGTCTAATATACCAAGTTATTATAAGAACTGTATGGTATCCATCTATCTCTGTTCTATTGAATGCCTTGTAAACAGCCAACACTGAAAACACTGTGAGAATTTGTTTTCAGGTCTGACACCTTTTGGTCGCTTTTTATAGCCAGAAACCAATATCCTTTTTATAAGAACTCATGTCTGTACTTCAGGAGCAAACTCTTCAGGCTCCTTTTTTATAAACTGGTGACTTTTCTTTTGT